GGATTTGTACACAACTTTCGCCTTGTACCGTTTGTTGATCGAACTCGTTTTCCACTCCACGGTAATCTATCGACTGATACTCGTCTCCGCTCGACACTACCACGTGTCTCGAACGACTGAACATCGTTATTGTCGGGAGTATCGCCTACACGGTCGATCAACAACAACATCCATTTACTCATGACCAAAATGAAATCAATTCTGCCTCCTCGGTTTCCTCCTCACTCTCGTTCTGTCGTATGACCTGTTGAGTAACAGTTGCCATTTTCCTAAGAAACCCTTGCTACCCGTGCTCGGTGCGCGCGGATCTTATAGCGAACATGCTTCGGTGTATCTAAAGGATTTGTGCAACGTGTAGTGTTGGTGATCGACATTTTTCTCATTTTCGTAATTGTCACATTTCGCGCGTGCCGTGCACACGTTATCGACCGAATCACCCTCGAGGACGTGCGCCCACCCTCGTTCCTTCCTTTCATCTTTCCGCTTTCTGTGTTCTGTCCGTCTCATCGTGCACCGTCGCAAAGCGCCATTTAACCTGACTATGTCAGGTCGATCGCATGACCCATCGCTTTTTGTGCCTAACGCCTTCATGAGCTTTCGATCGCATGCGCACAATCACGATTCCTTTTCTGTCTCTATGCCTCAGATTCGACAGACGACGACGATTGTGTGATTAGCAATGGCGCTGATTAATTTTCCTATTTAATATTAATGCAGAGGCGATGAATGACCTCGTTCGTCAGTTGAGTGCGTGATGTCACCGTTAACCAGTGACATTTGTGAATTTCCCATATCCTGTGATTTCTAGAAGTTGGACAGAAGGACAGCTAGTCGTGTCCCCATCGGATGCCATGCAAATGTAGGTGTGGTTTGTTAAGCGAGTTGTTCCAATGCCTCAGAAACGGAAAACATACTGAGTAGCCACAGAGTACGTTTTTCATTGACTCCTAACGTCAGCTCATTCTTATTAAAATTGTGACGACTAGCGCTGGAGTGTTCATCCTTTATTGGTCATGTTTGTACTTCATGCTTCGGATTGCGAGAACGAAACATGACAAATAGACGGAACCAGACGTCATCGCACCATACGGTATTTTCAGGTAGACTGAGGTATTTGGAAACATACCGCATCACATGCCATCCAACGTAAATTAAATGTATTCCATGGCCGATCTGGTAAGGGATGAAACTCAGATGTTCTGCTGCTGCAAGTATGATTGGATATTGGGAAAAGACGGTTGATCCTGTTTTAATCAATCACTCGGTCATGTCCATTAGCATGAACAGTAATAGTTATTTTTTTATCACAGCTCAACTATCAATCGCAAAACAAACAGATCGACGTTGTCCTTTCGATCCTCATCGGTATGTTATCAACAATCTGCTGTTTTTTCTTACCGGACTGCCCTGGCGAGAAACAGCAAGAATGGTCGGCGATTTAGGTTTCTTTACGCGTTTTTCCAATCGCTGACGTGCTGAACCCTCCACCTAAATGCATGAGATTGTCGTGTGAGAATGGAAACATGAACATCGAGCTGAAGTCCAGCATGAATCAACTAAACAATGACTGATGTTCCCGCAGACAAGGATCGCACTTTTTACGATGTCGTGACCTTGCATTATAATGAACGTATTAAAGTACCGCTTCAGCAAGGCATGTATTCTTAAACAGGACCATGGATTGGTCAGTCCACCTGTGAGGTCAGTCACACATAAGTTAGCAACATTGAATATGAACATAAAGTTACCATGTTTATTTTGCATATGTTACGGTCCTGAGTGGTAATCCATCCATAAACGTATATAGCTAAAATTAATTCGAGCCTTTCAGTGCTTACTGGTAATGTGTCGCTTTTAGTGCATTACAGTCAAGCCTCAGCGTACCTCAGTGCCACGGCGTAAACTTGAATATAACATAACATAACAGTGTTGAGTTTAAGTACTAGGATAGACACAGTAATAATCCAGTTAAACGGCGGTATTAGCTGCTTGGACTGATTCGTTCAGTCGATGCCGCATAGATTGATTACCATTCTGGAGTTAGCATATTCTTTGACTAGTTTTTTTGTTTAGTGTCTTCTCAGGTTTAGAATTCTGCATATATTCTGCTGAAAGACATGATACTGTTTCAGACTCATTGAATGCTAGTAAGTTGGGAATAAGGCTACATCGTAAATCATAGAGGCGCTGCATACGTCTATGCCGAAGTCTCAGGACGATGATCCAGTAACAAACATGCAAAAAGCCTAGTGTGGAAACAGCCTGCTGCGTGATTAAATAAGAATTCTTTTTTAATTTTTCTCTTCGTCGTCTCTTCGACTTCTCCAATACGCAAATGAGTTCGCTTTTGTACCTTTGGTTGTGAACCTTATTTTAGTCTTCTGCTTTGTAGTGAGGTTTTCGCCAATGACATACATCATATGTATATTTACAGCAATGATATGCGAATCAATCTCTTCATAGTAACCTGAGGAAGGAGAGAACGTAAGTAATTTAATTGAGTGGGTACTTAACAAAGTGAGCTTTGACCTGAGCATCGAACTTTGTTGTTTGACCTCAAAACAGTGAATCATCACTAGGTCTTTGATAATTACAAAGGTCCGTATTAAACTTGTTATAAATGCTACAGGCGCGATTATTGGTCGGTGTCGAACACATCATCCAGTTGAGTGTTTCGAGCGAACGACTGTTAGTGGGCGAGGCTGGACAGGAATCAGATCATACGTGGCAGACCATCCAAGCATATGCCCTCGCTTATGGGCCGCTTATTCTCCAAATCGAAATTTTACCCTAAAATTTTTCGTTAGAAACTTGTGTAGCATGCGCACATGCCCACACTTCGCTAAGCCACGTGATCAAGGGCAGTCATGGTGTCAGATATCATAGGTATAATTAAAGGACTGATATATTATTTCCTTGCGTTGTTGCACTTCAAATTCAGCCATCTTTCGTGGTCAATTGATAACTGGGGCATGGGACATTTCATGATTTAGACGCTACTACATCAATCGCTTGAAAGGATTAGCGGCTCGTAAAACAGCTGAATGACCAAATGCAAAACATAGCAGAACAACATAGAATTTACCTGTGATTAGAGAGAGTTACTTTTCTTTAAATCAGAGGCATCAGCCTTATGGTTCGTTTCCATTGTCCACGAACCTTATTTCAGAGTGCAACAATTACAGATGTTCGATACACGTGAAGCATTTGTACATCGGTTAGTTGTTCTTTGAATGCCATAGATTTCGTGAGATAGCTCGCGGGTCTCCATGACTCCAAAGGCATTGCTCGCTAAAGCATCGAAAGTTGCTGCCGGTAGTTTTTACATCGCCAAAATGGTCAGAAGACCCATTTCACCCTTCAAAATTAACTTATCCTTATTATTAACTGCTTGCAAATCCTTTTGCTTATCATTTTCTACTAGCATTTCAGTTTCGACCAAACGCTCTTTCGTTTAGCATATCTAGACGGTGGTGATCATCATAATAATGAAAGTTTGTGCTGTCGGCTTAACCGTCTGTTTTCTATCCAGCTCTTGTAACTATTAGTATAAATTCATATCCTGAATTATGATACACAAGGCAGTACTTCACACGCACGTTAGTCATAAATTTTATCTGGTGTTCATTCGAGTTATTTACTATTATTAGCCATTTTGTGTGCGTTGCTTGGCATTGTTTCGCTTTAATCCTACCTAACGGCTGGTTGTTTAGCCCCTCCACCGCCGTACACGGTCGCCAATCAGTACACGTGGTCCAGCTCGCGGATGTCAACGTCGCCGGCGTTTCCCGTTTCATGAACGATGCTGCGCCCCTGCTGCCGGTCACTGATCCTCAGCGGTACCTCGCTCTACCTGCTCATCGGTCACTTCAGTTCAGCGTGGTCATTGATGTCGATCCCGTGCTAGGAATCTCGACTGACTGACTGACTGGATGTCTGATTGAATGACTGCGAGATAGTTGTTTCGTTGTTGAACCGATCAATTGGGCGACTTTTGTTTTCATATGTTTTTTCGCACACGGAACTCGACGATCCTGTAGCATAAGTTTGACAGAGTCGAGGTCGACGTGCGAACCAGTAGTCGACGATGGTCATGGCGCTGAATCGTCGCCGTTGATCTCCGATTACCTGTGCTGTTTGTCGAAAAGATTTGTTGAAAAAGCCGCATTAAAATAATTAATTTCGCATTTTTTTACTATCATTTCGCTCATCTTGTCATTCTCGTTGACATCGAGCCTTTTGTCTTGTTTTTCCGTCGTCTCGTTGTGAAGGAAAACTACCTCGAGAGATTTCGAATGTTTTGTGTGATCTACTAGAGCTGTCGTTGTTCGTTAACCGGACATCTGCGTGATAATGAATATGGCTTTTGCCATAATAGCAAATATTGCCTAGCATTGATCTGAGGTGTCATCTCTAACGGCCATGCGTCATACGTAAACTTAAGAGGTCAGATGTTTGGAACTCGCAACTGTGTAACGGTAGCAAAGCATGTGGTTTTGTTATCTACGTTGTCTTTTTTCGTAATGTATTATTTTTAGCATACGTTCACTGTACGACTCCATATAGGCGATCATTTCGGATCTTTTATGTCATTCTTTATAGCAATGCATACGTTTCTTGGTGCTATGTATATTTATAACGTCGTTTTACTTGCCTACTCACTGAGCGAACTGCCACATAATCTGACCTAGTAGGCAACGCCATTTCGACCATAAAAGTTATAACATGGAACATGAGTTATAATGGGGCATGATAGATGAGCGCTGGTACACCGGATGAATTGTCATCATGAATGTCGTTCGAAGACTTTGCTCTAGGTTACGTCACGCATCTAAAAAGCATGGACAAAAACATGAACATGCAAAGTTGGAGCAAGTGAGGGAAGCGTCATCGCCTAAGAAAGATCGCATGTTTTAAACGCAAACGGTGGAACAGTTCGATGAGTATGACGCGGTATTGTGCCCAGTGTGCCTCGAAGAGTTAGCCCTGAGGAACAGTTTCCGGTCGACAGATTGCAGTGATTTGTGCTGTGACGAATGCCTGGCGGTGTACACGAAAAGGCAGATCATGGAAGACAGCGGCAAGATAGGCTGCCCGGTTTGCTCGGCCGAAATACATGGCAAAATATGTTGTAACTTATGGAAACCTTTTCGCAAGGTTGACGGCAGGGCGACCGATGTCCAAGATACCAGTCCGGAATCGATCAGCTGCATCAGAAACCTGGCTATCTTTCAGCAATATCCAGCTGTCTCCAGCCATACGATACAAACATTTTCCTTGTTGTCATGCCAACTGTGTGTGCTTTAAGGACGTGTTGTAAGCCTTCGTTGTATTGGACCCGACCTGAAGGCTTTTTCAGTGTACTGCTTCGACACTCCAGTGCTTGCATTTCTGTGGAATTGCCACCTTAGTATTTTACCCAACATTGAGCTCGAAGCATTTGCTTAAACTTCCGAAGACCAAGCTCTCAGTCAGCAACAAAAGGCTATCCGTAACACCGCAGGAGGATTTGTCGAAGGGGCGAAAAACATGCTGTCCGCGGTTACG